ATGAGTCAACACCTGGATGAAGTCAGACTATAGATGAAGTTAGACTATAGATGAAGTTAGACTATAGATGAAGTTAGACTATAGATGAAGTTAGAGTTAGACTATAGATGAAGTCAGACTATAGATGAAGTTAGACTCAGACTATAGATGAAGTTAGACTCAGACTATAGATGAAGTCAGACTCAGACTATAGATGAAGTTAGACTCAGACTATAGATGAAGTTAGACTATAGATGAAGTTAGACTATAGATGAAGTTAGACTATAGATGAAGTCAGACTATAGATGGAGTTAGACTATAGATGAAGTTAGACTATAGATGAAGTTAGACTATAGATGAAGTCAGACTCACAGCGGGCGGATGAGCAGCTGATCACTTTCCTCCGCAGGAACGTTGAAGTCACTTTTTCGTTTTGTCGCCATGTTTTTAACAAAGCCGACAAATAATCCAACAAACCGATCAATACTCCGTCGATACTTCGTTAATACTCCGTCGATACTTCGTTAATACTCCGTCGATACTTCGTTAATACTTCATTGCTTCAACACCTACGCGCCGACACAACAAACAGTTCCGGTCCGTGCTGTAAATCTGTCCGTGTAGTCTCACTACTTAAAACTCTGGTTCCTCTCTGGTCTGAGATGAAATAAGTTCCTGCGTCCAGAAAAGAAATAAATAAAAAATGCAAATTAATATAAAACACTGAATTAAGATAAATCTTTACAGTCATCGTTCCTAATATTGTTTAGTGATTGAAAACGTTCCACACCTTCAGCAACAGTCTCCTCATGAAAACACATTTAAATTCACTAAGTATTTATTTGGATCAGCTCTTAAATGTCAGTGCGGTTATTTTCATCAAGATCATGAATTATTTTCTGAGAAATCAGTGACCATGTTAAAGAAGGAGAATCCAGATCCACTTAGTTCCTCTCTGACACAACATCCTTCCCCACTGGAGATCTGTTCTGGTCGGTGACCTTTGACCTTTGAGCAGAAAACTCGAATCAGTGCATCCAAGTGAATGTTTGCACCAAATTTGTAGAGATAATCTTGAGGCATTTATATAACACGTTCATAAGGTCACATGACCCGGACCTGATCAGTTCATCTGGATGTTTCCACCAAATTGTCTCCAGGTGTTGCTGAGATATCTGCTCATAAGAATCCTCAGAAACTTACAGCTGAATATTCAAAACATGAGTAAGTGTTTACATCTTAGAAGTCCAGGAAATGTGCAAAAACAAGAGATTCACCGTGTACTTAAATAAAAAATCTAATTCAATGACTCCATGTATCTGCAACTGAATAAACCCTCGTTCTGGTTCTGTCTTATCGTGTGCAGAAGACATCTGAACACTTGAGAACAAGAGATGCATGGAGAACAAATCAAAAGATGAGGGGAAGAAATTGAGAAATAGAATCCGAAAAAGTAGAGTTGGTATCCTGGTAAAGGTAAAGACGATTTTTACAAGAGCAACAAAAAACAAATCAGAGTTGAAAGTTTTTAATGAAATGGTTTAAAAAGAGGATGAATAAAATCAAAGTGGTCGATCAGGTAATACAGAGTTTCTCTAATAATCATGGAAACATCAGAAACAGAAAACAGACAGGATCAGAATATTTCCTGGCTTGAAGTGTCCTGACAATAAACTGGGGAGTGGACATCTCCATATGAGAGAGACACATATATTACGATTATAGATCTCCTCTGTCCGCATACTTTTGGCCAGTGTAGATTTTTAAATGGTTCATGTTGTGTTTCTACTGTAAATAAAAATCAAAGACTCAGTACAATGAGTCAGGTTATGACCTACACTGCAGCCAGCCACCAGGGGGCGATCAATCTTTATTTACCGTCTATGGAATAAATACTTAAATGAATGTAAAACTTCGCAGCATCATTTGAAACATTTTCCACTAAATTCTTTTGGACAGATTCTTCTGAATTGTTTCTGCAAGCTGTAAAAAAACAAGACGACAAAAAACTACAAACAACTACGTCCATCATTGTGTTTTAAATGTATGAGGGGAAGTTAATTCAGATTTTTTTGTCTGCAGCTTCCTCATCGATTAGAGGACGACACATCAGAGTGTTTGTCAAAAAACAGGAAGTTGTGTCGACGTCACTCTGTGATGAAGTGAACGAAGGTGACAGGAAACACTCCCCGTCTGGTCGGCTCTCCTTCAACGTGACCGATCTGAAACAGAAGAGATTCTCTCCAGTTCCAACAAACATCAAACAAACCCAGCGCTCAGTGTATTTTAATGAACATCATAACAAACAAACTCCCAGCGCTGACTCACCCACCACTCACTGTCCTCCTCCCCCTCCACCACGATCACATCCCCCTCACTGAACGTCAGCTCGTCTGGATGATCAGCTGAACAGTTGTAGATGGCCTTCACTCTCTGAGGCTTCTGCTTCTACACAACACAGAGACACAGAGACACAGAGACAGAGAGACAGAGACAGAGACAGAGAGAGAGAGACAGAGAGAGAGACACACACAGTCAATAAAATACAATGTCTATTTAACTGCTGTGACTGAAACAGAGGCTCATAGTCAGGGGTGTGTTCTATGAGTTCAACATATCCAGGATATCTGTCAGTTATCCAGCTGAACCTAACCTAACAATCACAGGCTAGGTGGTCACATGACGCTGGTTATCAACTCGTTAAATTAACTCAGGTAACAAGACGTGTGGAAGTGAAGAAGCCTCTTGATGAGAAACGTTAGAATCCCATGATGTGGCCTCTAAAGGAGCTTTAGTTTGCCACACACTGATTCTGAGGAC